TTTTCAAGCAGCGCTACTCAATGGCAGCAAACTCGCAAAGCAGACCAGAAAAAGAATTCTGACGTTCCGCAATCCCACCCATGATGCCATCCATACGGAAACCTGCCGCTTATCGGTGGTGAAGATCCTGCTCGCGCAGGTGGGGACCCTGTCCTTCTCCCACCCCTTGTTTGGTGTGTCCGTTTGAGCACTTGAGCACTGGATAGGGTCAGTTCCGCATGGTACGGGACCCCTCGATCGTCTCGCCCTCCCTCACTGGTGTGTTCATGGGGGGGGGGGGGGGTCATAACAAACACGGTACAGGATCGAGGTGCACGCTGCTGAGGGACCCCAGAGGGTAGATCGAGCAGTGTCGTCCCCCTCTCCATCATCTCCCTGGGAGACGTCGGCGGCGATGGCGGTGTGACCGATCGAGCTACAAGAGGAGCTTGTTCAGCAGGATCCGGGGTAGTCAGATGCACTAACTACCTCACTGGGCCTGAGATCACCGTACGACGCCTCCCGTCACCGTCTCGGATTTGCGTGGGATCGAACCACTCCGGGATGGGCAAGCCCATCAATTTTCCCTGCTTGGTTAATTGTCAAAATTCCTGTTGTGCAAGAGGGGAGGGGGCTCTGACGGAGTGTGTGGCGGGAGAGGGCAGGGAATGGGCGCGGGGGAGGGGGGGGGGGGGCTCAGCCGTGCAAAAAACATCAATTAATAATAGTAGTGAAGAAATATTGCTCGGCCGTTCATGAAGTCCGTCTCGATCTGGAGGAGACGGGTCAACCCCGTGAGGACCAGATCAGGTTCGCATTGAACCATTGTCGTAGCCGGAGGGGATGTTGACCATTAGCTCTCGGGGCCACCCTTCCGCTTTGGTTTTTTCCCATCAGACCACTCGAACTTTTACCAAATGCAAAAGTTGCACTTGACCACTCGGGCAAATTCGATTGCATTTTACCACTCGGGCAAACTCGATGAAACGGGCGGACGGAAAACGCGTTTGCGGCAGCTCGCCCGAGAGCTATGCATGGAGCGGCCGGCGCGCCGCCGCAGCCCACCGATGGAGCTTGCGAAGCGGCTCAATCCACTGGCGCAGCAGCATTGCGACGCATTCTCCGAGCACGGCCTCTGGCGTTGCGAGTGCACAGAGAGCGAGCAAAAGTCGACAAAACCACTGATCTGTGTGCAGCGGATCTCCATGGCGGTCGCGCCCGGCGAAAGGACGACCGTGGGCCTCGGATGCTCGCCCGGATGCGGCCCCACCGTGCGAGTTGCAGACCCGGAGGTGGCCGACCCAGCTCACCCCCAGAGAGGCATGCCCAGGGTCAGGCATGAAAGGGGGGTGTTTTTCCGTCCGTCCGCAAATCGGTTCATTTTATTTATTTATGATCGGTGGTGGTGCCCCCTCGGCCTTGGCGGGCATTCCCTCCGTTCTCCGATGATACCGCCATCTCCATCGCCTGGTCTGCAATGCTTATCAGCCACAGGAGGAGAGCATGGCCGAGGGGGGGGCGAGGGCTGCAAAAAAGCTAGATAGACTCGATCGCAAGCAAGACCCAGAAAGGCACCTCTGCCTCTAGAGAGGGTGGCCCGCCCTAAAGCCTAATCGACCAATGAGCAATGTTAAGTGACGTGTGTGTGTCTCGCGCCTTGCGACTCGTTCGCTTTCCACCGAGTTGTGATTTTGTGTGACGCTGTGTCTTGCTCTCTCCCTTGCTTTGCCAACTGACCTCTAAAAACGGGAATGTACGTACGTAAGAGCCACATACAACTAACTAAAAACAAACCCTGTCAGCAGAGTCCTCCTACGGGAATGTGCGTAAGAGCTATATACACTGAAAAACGTCTCCTCCGGGAATGTACGAGAAAGGGCAAAGGCGTGTGTGCTCTGTACCCTTAGGGCCCTACGCGCGGCGTGAGAGCTCGGAAGCGAGCTTTGCACGGCGATCGCGGATGGCGCGGTTCACCCCTTCCCTGAAAGTAACAAGAACTTTCCGAGAGGCCCGTCCCCGCAGTTCGCGTTGCGTGTGTGTATATGCTCTCTCCGCTCCGCGCAGCCGCCGCGCGCGCCGTCGGACGTCCAGTGGCACAGCGGGCTGCCACCCGCGCGATGTCCTCTCAACAGTTTGACATCACGTTCTGCGCCAACTGAGACGGCGGCTTCCAAGAGGCGGAGGCTGCCACCCGCTTCGTGAAGGCTGTCTTCCCGGACGCGCAGGTGGACGCTGTGCAGATTAGAAAACGCCCGATCCGCGTGACCATCTCCAGCGGCGGCCGTGAGCTCGTCCGCGTCGATCAACGAGACCTGTTCGGCAAATACGGCTGGCCGGCTGAGAAACCAATCACCGAGGCGCTGCTCAAGTTCAAGGCCGATGAGACGGCGGGCCCTACCGCTGCGGCCGTGGCTGCAGAGTAGGAAGCACGCAACCAGTACGAGCCGCAAGAGGATGCCGCGTCAACGACTATGACGGCCAACTTCTACAAATCCCCGCACAGGGAAGGGTTGCGCTCGAGTCCTCGCGAGAGTTGGCGTTTGGCGCGCGGTCCGCGCGGCGGTGATACCGTGTAGACCCGTACAGTGACCTTGTGTACAGCGATCGTAAAGAGGACGTCAGCTGCTCGTCGCTGTGTGGACCGCCTGTGTCGTGGTACGTGGAACGCGCTCCACAAACGGTAGAGAGAATCTCGGGCCTCTCTCCCCCGCGCTCTCTCAAACGTGAATAATCTAGGCGCGTGTGCACGCGCGCCGGCCGCCCGGGCCCCCGCTCCAGCCTGGACCACACCTCCACACGGCACTTGCACTAGCACTTGCCACACGGGACACGGCCCCCCGCCGCACGGCGCAGGGCAGGAGCTCGGCACGCGGCGACGCGGGGGACCCGCCCGCGGGCCGCGGCGGTGCAGAGCCGAGCGCGGCCGGGCAGCCGTGCGCAGGCCTCGAGCGTCGAGGCGCGGGCGCTGCGCCGCTGCCACCCGCCCGCCGCCGGCCCTCGCCCCGCCGCCGCCGCCGCCGCCGCGCGCCACAAAAAAATAGGCCCAGTAAGTATCAGTAACCAGCCTCCGGCGGGGCCCCCCGCTACCATCCAAACCCGAGTACCCGTCTACTATCAAAGATAGAGGCTCAAGTGTGACATAAGTCCGCACACACATACGGCGTATCATACGACATACACACATAGTCATAGACATACACAAAGCAACTCTCACGACACACGGGCACCGGGTGGAGCGGCGGCGGCGGCGGCAGCAGCACGCGCGGGCGGACGGATTCGGACGGGGCGGAGCAGCGACCGCCTGGGCGGCCGCTGCTCTGTCTGCCAGAGCGCGCGCCGTCTGCGCAGCTCGAGCGCAGTCAGGTGCGGGGACGCGTGGCGGCGCGGGGAAACGCGGCGGCGGTGGCGGCGGCGGCGGCGGCAGCGGCACGCGCGGGCGGACGGATTCGGACGGGGCGGAGCAGCGACCGCCTGGGCGGCCGCTGCTCTGTCTGCCAGAGCGCGCGCCGTCTGCGCAGCTCGAGCGCAGTCAGGTGCACAGGGAAGCGTGGCGGCGCGGGGACGCGCGGCGGCGGTGGCGAGCAGGCGAGCGGCCCGCGCGCGGCGAGGCGGACAGGTGATCGGCAGGCGGGTGATGGGCCGCAGAGTGACCGCGCCCAGCGATCGGAGCGAGCCGATCGTCGCTCGGCCGCAGCTGACCTCGAAGGCGTGCGGAGCGCGACTGTCGGTGTCGGAGGGCGGCCGTCATGTGGCGAGGAGGGAGGACGACAAGTGCGCGGCGTACGGGTCGCTCTTCATCGGCCAGTCGAGCGGCACTCAAGTCGAGATCGAAGGAAAGCATGACGGGTTTGAGCTCGGCACTTCGCTTTGGCGCCAAAGCTTGTGACGAGGTACCGTATGCCACGAAAGGGGGCCCTCTGTGTGTGTGTGTGTGTGTGTGTGTGTGTGTGACTGCTGCGTACGGAGGACGCGGCAGATAGATCCGGATGGTCTTCACGCCGGTGGGAGGCACCGAGGCGTCTGGGACGCTCAGCTCTAACTTAAGCTCCTGAGGGGCGCGTGGTTGTAACCACGTAGTAGGACTACAGCCCACCACAGACACCCTCCCCCACTTCTCCCGTGTGTTCACACCCTCACCCTCTCCTCTCTCCTCTCTCTCTCTCTCTCTCTCCTCTCTCTCCTCTTGTCTGTGCTGTCTGCCTGACTCAGGCACTCAATCTGCCGATGCGTGATTGTGTGTGGGCTGCTCCGAGGGGGCCCTCTGTGCGATCCGACGGGTAGGGGGGCCGTGCCCGGGCGGTGTCCGGTGTGGAGTCCCCTTCTGATCCCGCCTGGGATGTTGGGTGTGAGGGTGTGGCGGCTTCGATCCCAAGGGGGGGAGCTGATCCCACTCAATAACCAGGACGGTGGCATTGGGTCGCACCCACTTCCACCCCCGGGAGGTCGAGCCCGCTCTCCCTGGTCGACGAGTCGCGCCCGCACCCGCGGCCTCTCTAGAAAGAAAAGAAAGAAGACAGACAACCCAAGGGAGGGATGGGAGGACGGCACGCCGCCACCACACAGGGATTTTAAGGAGAGGAGTGTGGTGCTTAGCCGTCGCCCACCCTAACCCTTGGTCGTCTGCCTCTTTCTATCTCCCTTCGCAGTCCCTCGCCGATTCTCGCTGCAACCTTCATGCCACCTCGCGGTCGTCCCACTCTCGTCGTTCTCCCTCATTCCTGTCGCTTTCTCCTCTGTCGCGTCGCTCTCCTCTGCCTCGTCCTGCGACGCCGCCGCCGCCTGCCGATCCCTTGCTCTCGCGGCTTCTCCCGCCTTTCGGCGCAACTCTGCCCTCCTCGCGGCATATTTTGGCCCCTCGCGGCCTCTCTATCGTCCTCGGGAGATATTTTTTCTCTTTGATTTCCCGCGCGTGCGGCGGCATGGCGCTCCTCTCTGAGCAGGCCGCATCGCACGGGCCGTCAAAGTCGCCATTCGTCGCTCCCGCCGTTTCGCTACTCACGCCCTTGACCGCCGAATCATTCGGCCGGTTTGACTGCCATCCGACAGAGGGGCACGACGCCCGGGCGGGGCTTTCGGCGCTGGCGGCGGCGGCGGCGGCCCGCGGGTTGAGCGTGGACGTGGGTTCTGAGACTGGGGTTGAGCCGTGCGCGGGCTCGCCGTTCGCCCTCTCTGCGCTCGTGGCGGCGGCACGCAACGCGGAGCTGCCTCGCACGCCGCCAAAGACACGGAAGTGGACGTTCCCGCCTCGCGGCTCTCTGTTCGGCATGGGCTCCTCTCGCAGCGGGCTCGAAGCGAGGCCGGCACCGATGCCCC